TGAAATGTATTTACCCCAAGAACAAACAAACACTATTTGGAATTTTGAAATTTTATTAAATTTTAAAATTTCAGCGATTTTCGGTCCCGCGCAGTCGGGCAGAAAATCCTGTGCCTATATCAGGCATAAAAATTAGCCGAATTCAAATACATATAATTTTAAAAGTATTCAACCAAATTTTATGATTTTTTCACCCACCAACGTGAAACTTATTTTACTTTGAAACTTACCTTGTTTTATGATGCTTTTACAGAACGATTATGGCAAACGTTAGCGATAACAAGCACCGGATCTAAATACGGCTTTGTACGCATATCAAATTCGACTTTAACTTTCTAAAACGTGGCACCTAACTGGATTCAGTGACTAATATGGTTAAAAAAATGCATGTTTGAAGTACCAATATCCATAATAAAACTTGTTACCAACCGCGATTTGAAGACTCGAAAGCCTCTGAAATTTGATACAATTTGGCTATTTTGTTTAGCTTCAATTATAGCGGAGTTGAGACGTCAGAGATTCCAGTCACTTGTAAAATGCGTTGTTGTTCCGTTTTTTTTTACACAAGCCGTTAATATCATCGTAGTTAAGCGATTTTTCTGTGTTCATGAACATCACAAGTGGATTTAATTAAAAAAGATTTCGATCGATGCAGCGAGGTATTATTAAACGTGGATCGGTTTCGTATTAAAATTAGCTACTCCGGGAAAACCCGGAAATTATTGTCAAATTGACAATGCTGATATTTATTAATCTAAACTCTGTATGTCTATTCTGCACGATTGGAAATGAATTTAAGAGGTTATCTCTCTAAGAACCGACCAATGGCTCTAGGCTCAAAAAATGAAATTCTTCGTTACTTTCACAATGTCTTTTATGATTTTTTCGCCCACGCACGTGAAAGTTATTCTACTTTGAAACTTACCTGGTTTTATAATGCTTTTACAAAACTATTATGGCAAACTTTAGCGATAACAAGCACCAAGTCGAAATACGGCTTTGTACACATATCAAATTCGATAAATTTCTCAAAAGTGGCTCCTAACTGGATTCCATGACTAATATGGCTGAAAAAAGGGAAGTTTGAAGTACCAATAACCACAATAAAACTTGTTACCAACCGCAATTTGAAGACTCCCAGAGCCTCTGAAATCTGTTACCTTCAGTCATTTGTAAAATGCGCCGTCGTTCCGGGTTTTTTTTTCACACAAGCCGTTAAGCGATTTTTCTGTGTTCATGAACATCAGAAGTTGTTTTAATTCGAAAAGATTTGGCTCGATGCAGCGAGGTAAACGTTACAGCGAGGTAAAATAGAGTCGTTGCTAATTTTGGCACATCCCGTCATAAACAGTCCAATCGTGCAACAATTACTGCCATTTATTAGCAGAAAACCAGAAACATGACGTATTGTCTTGTTTCTATAGCTTCTCTTCCGTGTAATGCACAGCAATTCCATTAGTATATATTTGACAATTTCGATTCCCCACTATATCTTCACATGATACTATACTTTATTGGGGTAATTTACGCATTAATTAACATCCCCCTTTTTGAATACATTGTGAACAGTTTCTACCATTATTCTGGCCGACGTTTCATATAAGAGTCCCCACATGCCCTGGCCTATCCACGCCCCCAGTACGACCCTGCCCCACCCTCGCGTTTTTGTGACGTCATTTGAAAACTCTTGTATGAAAATAAACTTCACCCTTTATTAGCTCTCCTTAAAAAATTCCAGGTGAAATTGATATAAAGGTCCTCAAATGACATCACAATAGAGGTGGGGTGGGTGTAGGGTAGGGGTCAGGATAGAGTTGGGGTGGAGGTCATTTGGAGACTATTCCATATATGACTCTTCTATTAAATTTCAGCCAAGCCCTAGTTGAAACACTAATCAAAACCCTTATTCGAACTATAATATCCAAATCCAATTCAATTGGCATGCACGATTGCAACTGGATCTTTTTGAATAATCAGTATCTATAGTAATCTTCTAGATCAAGTATTTTTTCCAGTTTAAATTCATTTCCAATCGTGCAGAACAGACATACAGTATTTAGATTAATAAATATCAGCATTGACAATTTGACAATAATTTCCGGGTTTTCCCCGAGTAGCTAATTTTAATACGAAAGCCTACCATGTTTACCTCGCTGCATCGATCGAAATCTTTCCGAATTAAATCCACTTGTGATGTTCATGAACACAGAAAAATCGCTTAACTACGATGATTTAAAGGCTTGTGTAAAAGAACGGAACAACAGCGACTGTTGGACTGGAAGCTCTGACGTCTCAACTCCGCTATAATTGAAGCTAAACAAAATAGCGAAATTGTATCAAATTTCAGAGGCTGTCGAGTCTTCAAATCACGGTTGGTAACAAGTTTTATTATGAATATGGGTACTTCAAACTTTCCTTTTTTTAACCATATTAGTCACTGAATCCAGTTAGGTGCCACTTTTGAGAAATTTAAAGTCGAATTTGATATGCGTACAAAGCCGTATTTACACCCGGTGCTTGTTATCGCTAAAGTTTGCCATAATCTTTCTGTAAAAGTATCATAAAACAAGGTAAGTTTCAAAGTAGAATAATTTTCACGTTGGTGGGTGAAAAAATCATAAAATTTGGTTGAATACTTTTAAAATTATATGTATTTGAATTCGGCTAATTTTTATTCCTGATTTAGGCACACGATTTTCTGCCCGACGGCGCGGGACCGAAAAGTCGCTGAAATTTTAAAAATTAATAAAATTTCAAAATTCCAAATAGTGTTTGTTTGTTCTTGGGGTAAATACATTTCATTGTGAAAGTAACAAAGAATTTCATTTTATGAGCCGAGAGTCATTGGTCGGTTCTTAGAGAGACAGCCTCTTAAGTTGTCGGTATTAAGGGACTCAACTTATTCTTTCAGGAGTTGAGGGAATTAATTATTTGGGAGTGATGTCAAGCTTGGATTCTCTGTTTTTCACTGCTTTTCAGTGGGCCATAAAAGGCAACATCAAGAGGCAAGGTTAAGTGTGTGCTATTTGGGACTACCCACACAAAACAAATGTTATTTTCTTCACATAATCTGATAGGTGAAAAATGACTGGAAAGATTATCACCAATTACAACTTTTATGCCTTTTTTCTTTCTTTCTAAACCAAGGTAACACTACTGTTCAAAACCAGTCATCAAAACTAATGGCTTCAAACCACCCACTCTTTGAACGGTTATATCGAGCATATTTAGGACCACCAGTAGTCCATGTGGTGCACATGTTTACTCCCTTGTACACCACATAAACTGGTAACAATTCTCCACTTGCTGTGCCACAAAACATAATACTAATGTTCAGGCTCTTAGCCAGAAGGGTGTCCTGGGACGCCCCTAGAACGAAAAATGCACGCCTTTTGGATGCCCAAATTCTGGGGAAAAAGGAAAATTATTTTCAATTATTTCCCTAAGTATATTAATATATCTGAAACGAAATAGCTTCAATTCACTCATTATTATACATAAGACAGTTTGATCAATTTGATAATGTACCTGGCTGAATGAAAATTTATTTATTTATTTTAATTAAGTTCGCCCAAAACAATGGCTTTTATTTTAGGCCCCTAGATTATGAATTAAAAATAATTGATATAATGTCAGTTCGTAGTTAAGTAAAGAAGCATAGCAGCACAAACTCACAAAGCCAAGTGTGTTTGAAAAATTTCGAACAAGCTTTGAACAGATACTGACATGAAGTAATGTAAACTTCAATGGTTTTCTCAACCCCTCTTTACTGTAGATGTATCGTTATACCAAAATTGGACGCCCTCTTTCAGGACCCTGGCTAAAAGCCTGCTAATGTTGCCTTTGGTGTAATTCATAACACACTCGGGATACTGTTTTGCATGTTTAAAGATCAGCTTTTCCTGACTTGGGTCGTCCGCCAGGTTAATTTCATCATAATTCAAAATTTTGTCTGCTGGTACCTCTTTTACCACATCTTTTAAATTGTCAAAATACTTAACAAACTCACCTTTATTCATTTCTGAACGAGATTTTTTAATGTTTTGACATACGCAAGGACATATTTGTTTTGCGTGCCGCTTTATAAAACTTCTTGCCTAGTCTTCACCAGGTAAGTTGTTTTTAAACCTTGTTACTGTGCGTTTTGACATATCCAAGTAAGACTTCACTACAGAACATATGTCCAATTTTGAGAAAGGGAAACCCCATTCAGATACAGCCACCAAAAGATGGACAATCTGCCCTTCTTCCACAGCAGTGAGACATGTTTGTCCACCTGGTGATTTCATTTGTATTCCACAAAATTTGCGATTTAATGTGGATTTTGGGATGTTGAACGTTTTTGCTGGGTCATGCAGAGTCATTCCATCTTTTACTGCCTCAATGGCATTGGCTAGAGATTGGTTCCTATAGTCTCTGTAGTGGTTTTTTCTTTGATCCAACAAAAATGTATGTGTTCTGATTGTCCCAATTCACCCTGCATTGTCCCCGATGCACCATATTAACTCACTCTTATGAGATTCTCTCTATGTGTTGAATAAGGAACTTCTTCGATAGATGGCTTTGTCTTGCCATATCTGATGGTCATATAGCTATAAATTGATTTTGAAAAACCACATGGAGGATCATCCCCAAAAATCAATGTTATTGCCAATGCTCTCCCAGCCATATACTACTTGTAGCTTTGCAACTTTTGCACGTTATGTGTCAAGTCATATTGTTACTACACGAAGTTTTATGACATATTATAGCCGCTGTGCTCGTTGATCGCGGGAGACTTTTTGTTTTTGAAAAAATATTGCAAACATGTTGTAATTTTAGAGACTTTTTGTGGTTATTTGTGTATATAAGAGACGGTTTTATTTCAAGAAAACAGGCGATAAAGTGTCAGTTTCAGATCGGGAAACAAGTTTGGTCCTTTCGAGCCAGATCATTTGACTTTAAGGGAGAAACATTCGTTTCGAAAATCGTGTTTTTTGCTACTTGATTAATAATTCAAAATGGCGTTGGTTCACAATGTTGAAGAAACATTGAAAGACAGCGTTACAGTGAACGAAGAAACTAATGGTGGTGAGAATAATGAAGAGAATAATGGACAAGACGAAGAAAATAGTTTGAAAGAAGACAGTGTTAGCCACGAAAGCAAGAAAATTCAAGGATTATGTAATAACAAGAAATCTGCAAAAATTCGACTGGCAAATGCAAAAAAGAAGTTATCCGAGCTTTTTGAAAATAAGTCTGGGGATTGTTTACAAAGTAAAAGTGCTTTGCATAGAGCAGTAAACAAGGTAAAGACAGAAATGAACATAATTGAGAAAATTATAATTACAATAAAAGAAATTTATTGTGTTAGTGCTGAGGGTAATGAGACATTTATTGAAGCATTGGACAGGGAGCTTGAGGAAATTCAAATGATGCTGTAGAGAATCATTAACAACAATGCTTAGCCATCGGTGAACTAGAATCTGTAGGGTTTTCAGAAGGATTTTCCAAGGGTAAATCACAAGGGTAAAAGCACCTACATTTAGTCAAAAGGGACTTAGTTCTGAAACATCCCAGGTGAGAGGATATAAAACTAGTAATTCAGATAGCGTCTCGATGATTCTACCAGCAGTTATTAGCAATGGAAATAGAACAATACAGGTGAATGTCATGTTAGACACATGTTCGACGAGTTCGTATGTCTCGGAAGAGGCAGCCGCAGAGCTTGAATTGCAAGGACAGCCACTCAATTTGACCATTTCAGGAACCGGTGGAGCTGAAATCAAGCAACGTTCACGTTGTGTTGAACTGTTGGTGAGTAGCATTGATGGATCATTTTCATCTTCTCTGCAAGCACATGTTCTAAACAATATAGCTGGTGACACACCATCAATCCAATGGTCCAAGATCAAGGAGAAATGGTCTCATCTAATTGATGTTCCATTTGAGCAAGTGTCGAAACGTCGTCAAATTGATGTGATGATAGGAAGCAATCATCCGTTGTTCCATTTAGTACTGAAGGATGTGAGTTGAAGCCAACCAACTGACCCAATCGCTCGGTTGACAAATTTGGGCTGGTTTGCTTTGGGCCGACCTTGGTGGAAGACCATCAGAGAGAGTCTCGGGTGCATTTTACACGGACGTATCGATCATGCCATAATCAAGATAACCAGCAGGAACCACCAATTGATGTCCTTCACCAATTCTGGGAGTTAGAATCGATTGGCATCAAAGATCAAACAGACCATCCTATGACTGCTGAAGACAGAGCTTGCGACTACACAAGTTTCGAGAACACTTAAATTCAAGGACGGAAGATACAAACTTGGAATGCCCTGGAAGGACGGTGAACCAAAGTTAGACTACAATTTCGAAGCCGCTATGTGTCGTCTGGAGAGTCAAGAAAAGTAATTGAAAAGAAAGGGTCCAGAGATAATGAAGGCTTACTGTCAGATTTTCGAGGACTATAAGAAGAAGGGTTATATAAAGCAAGTACCTAAGTCGGCGGCATTGGATCAGTGGTTCTTGCCCCATTTTCCCGTAATCAGATTGGATAAATCGACGACCAAAATTTGTGTCATATAAATTTGTGTCATATAAATTCGTGAAATATAATGGGAAGAGTTTGAACGACGTTATACGGTCGCGGCCTAAGCTTCAGCGAGAAATAGTAGACGTACTTACACATTTCCGCAGAGCACCTGTGGCACTTAGCGGTGATATATCTGAGATGTTCCTACAAGTCTGGATTCGTGAGGAACATAAAAAGTACCACAGGTTCCCTTGGCGTGAATTTGACCCTACTCGAGAGCCGACCGTCTACGAGTTTCAGAGATTAGTGTTTGGTAACACAGCCTCCCCATTTTGTTCACAATACGTCATTCCACGCTTGGCATTTTTTCTTCAGAAACGTCCAGTTCGTTTTTGCTGTACAAGAAATTCTTCAATTTTTATTCTTCTACAATATTTGACCTTTACATAGAATATATCATTTCTAACAATCTGATGTTTTTTGTTTTTGAAATTGTTACATTTTTGGCGGGAAAATAACGTGACGAAATTGGCGCCAAAAATTTATATAACAGATATGGGTTTTCTTCTGAATAAATCTGAAAGAGCATACTGTAAGAACCTCAAATGTGAAGTCTGTTTTGTAATGGCCCAATTCATGGCGAAGATATAGCTAGTTGAATTTCGAAAATTCGCCATTTTGTTACTAAAAATAGAACAAAATGGTGGATTTCTTGTATTTTGAACTGATATAACTTCGTAATGAATAATCATAATCTACAACGCACTTCAGATTTGAGGTTCTTACAGTATACTCTTTCAGGTTATACCGAAAATCAGCTGTATCTGTTATATAAATTTTTGGCGCCAAATTTGTCACATTATTTTCCCGCCAAAAATGTAACAATTTCAAAAACAAAAAACATCAGATTGTTAGAAATGATATGTTGTATGCAGATGCAAAATATCGTAGAAGAGGAACCAAAATTGAAGAATTTCTTGTACAGCAAATACGAACTGGACGTTTCTGAAGAAAAAATGCCAAGCGTGAAATTCAAACCCATTGTCAACAACATGCAGCAGAATTTCCAGAAGCGGCAGACTCAGTGGCCAATTCGATGTATGTAGATGATCTTCTAGATTCCAGTGAGACAGTTGAGAGCACCCAGAACCTACGATATCAGCTTACTTCTCTTTTAGCATCAGCGGGATTCAACCTGAGAAAATGGGCATCAAATGAGACCGCAGTTATCGAGAGTATAGTACCAAGTGACCGACTTTCAACATTGGATTTCGGCAAAGAGGAGACGTTGAAGATTAAAACTTTAGGTGTTATGTGGAAAGCCAAAGAAGACGTTTGTTTTTACTTTTCAAGTCAAATTACCGGAATCCAGTAAGCCCTTGACTAAGCGTAATGTTCTGAGCACAATCGCCGCTATCTACGATCCACTGCAATTTTTGTCTCCATTCATAATGAGAGCCAAGGTGTTGATGCAAGAGTAAATCCAGCAGACCTAGCTGAATGTCGGCTGTCGGAACTCGTCAACAGTGTATTTTGGACAGAAGGTCCACAATTTTTGAAAGAAGAAGAGACATTATGGCCAGCAAGTCCAAGCAGAAATCCAAAAGCACTGGACGGTTGCGAAAAGCAAGTTATCCAGACGTTTGTGACAAATACCAGAGGTGCAGATTTTATTGACCCACGGCAATTTTCAAGTTTCAGACACCTGTGTCGGGTGACGGCGTGGATACTACGTTTTACGACCAATGCGAAACGGTCGCACAACGCCAGAAATAAAAGTAACATTCTTTCACTTACGGAGATTGTACAAGCTGAGAAATTCTGGATAAGACAAGCTCAAGGAGAAGCATTTCCTAGAGCTGCAAAGGATCCAACGTTGCTACAGTTCAATCCCAGAAAGGACGATGACGGCCTCTTGAGAATGGACGGACGTTTGCGTCTAGCTGACGAATTGCCTTATGACACTAAACATCCCATCCTACTACTGAAGAACCATTCAGTGACCAGACTTATCGTGATGGACGCCCATGAGTGTTTAGGCCATGGCTCAGGAGTAGAACTTTTGTTGACGAGCATACCTGCTCAATTCTGTATTGTGAAAGGACGAAACTTGTCCTGTATGCCGACGACGATTTTTAAAGAAGACCGGACCAGGATGTTCCGAGACCAAGACTGGAATCATTGCGAGCGTTCGATAAGATTGGAGTTGATTATGCGGGACTTTTTTGACCAAACAAGGACGTGGAACAAAGAGAACCAAGCGGTACTTGTGTTTGTTCACATGTCTGGCTATGTGAGCCATACATCTAGAAATGGCTTACTCATTAGACAGCGATTCTTTTATTAATGCATTTGTTCGAATGGTTTCCAGGAGGAGGGCACCGAGTTACGTGGTTAGTGACAACAGGACTAATTTCGTCACTGCTGAATGGGAGTTGCGGGAGCTAATCGAGAACCTGGACCAGGAAAAGATCGTGTGCGAGACCACCAAGTACCAACCGATTACATGGAAGTTCAACTCGCCATCTGCACCGCATTTTGGCAGTGTTTGAAGCCTTGATCAAGAGTGCAAAGAAAGCCATTAAAATCATTTTGGGTGACGCAGATATTCGAGACAAGGAGTTACATACGGCCATATGTGGTGCTGAAGGGATGATAAACTCGAGACCGATAACTTACGTAAGCGCGGTTCCAAATGACCTGTCACCGCTTACTCCTAATCACTTAATCGTTGGACAGATCAGAGGACGATTTGCGCCGGAAGCAGTAGATAAAGAGGAAGTTTATAACCCAGTGTGAAGATGGCATCGAGTCCAGCAACTTCTAGGATTATTCAGGAAACGGTGGAAGAAGGAGTTTCTTCCCAGCTTAAACGTAAGAAAGAAATGGTTCCACCCCCATCATAACTTGAAGCCTGGAGATGTTGTTCTTATTGCAGAGCTTAAAGCAAGTCGCGGAGATTGGCCCCTTGGTCGAGTACTTTCGCCCAGTTCATCGCTTATGTCCTTTGGAATATGTACATGCATAAACTTACGTAAAACACTAAAGTTTAACAAATTTTGTGACTGACAGTTTGTTATAGATTATCTAGCTGTAGCAATGGACTACATTAACTCATTAAGTTGCAGACTGTTGCAACATTGGCACCCCCCAAGTTGCAAGGAAAATGGCGAATTTTAGTTACTGTCAACTTCTGTCAACTGCTTTTACAAAAATACCCATATCTCAAGATCAATATCATAAAAAACCTTGAAATTTTGCAGTGGGTTAAAATGATAAATGATTAATCAATGATATTTTAAATGAGCTCCCACACTTAAATATATCATTAGATTTTTAGGTGAGAATTCTTGGTTTGTATAAATTTAAGTCTCTGACATTTTATTTCTTCATGACACCCAACATCTGAAGGGCAATAATTCAATAACCCAACATAAATGGAGAAATATTTTTTTATTCCTGGATTGGTACACATTTATTTTCAAATTAGTTTTCATCTTGTAGGGTATAAATTACAAAATAATGAAATGCTATAAAAATTTGCTTGGGCATAGCTCAGGCACACTCAGGACATCTAGTTTACAATGGAGAACTTGAACTTCAGAACTTGTTGTTCAAGTCCAAAAATTCTGTAACCCAAAAACACAGTGTTTGTACCTCTTTGAAGTTTTTAAATAGCTCAAATATGTTTGGAAAAACACGAAGTACAAAAATTACTAATTAAAATATAAACAAAGGATGAAAAAGGTGAGAAAATTTAAAAATATATGAGGTGTTTTCAATTCTGACTTTGACAGCCGGCATTTTCAAATGCAGCATGCGGTGACAAAACAAGGCTTTTTATTTCGCTATTAAGAGCACTGAAAGTCATCAAAAAGAGATAAACACTTTTGAATATTCATCAGGTAAGAATTTTAACTGAAATTCCTTTTGTTTCTGTTGAGAAAACAACGGATTTGTGGCTAAAACGTTGTGCGCGCCAATGTAGGTTGCTGTAAAATGTCAGACAGGCGGTTTCTTTTGAAATCTGACTCAAGTTTGAAATCTGACTCTAGCTTGAAATAAGTCCTTTTCAAGGACCAATTGTATAAAAATATAATATGTATGCTCAAATAAAATGAATAATCTAATATTTAGGCATTTTAGATTGCTATAAAAGAGTGAAATAAAGTATTTCATCTTTGGTTGTTTGTCAGACGAGAGTAAACACATTGGTGACACTTTGTTGCACATGCAGTTTTCAAAAGATAAACTGCTAAAAATATAGCTTTTATTTCACCAAATAGCAAAGTATCTTCCAGATATTATTAAAAGAGCTCAAGCGAAGTAATTCCATGATAAATAAGTGAACAATGAGACCAAAAAAGCGACTAAATTACAATTTTGGAAAGTACATAAATTTAATGGCTTCCCGCAAAAGAAGCCATTTCAGAGGAGAACGGCATTTTGTAAACTACTCTCCTGACCTATTTTAAACTTTTCCTTCAGGTAATCGATGAGTACTTCTTAGAAAATGAGCGTACATTAGTTTTATGATGTGCTTTATTGATTTAAAAATTTTATGGGGATATATGAAGCAATAAAGTGTATTTTAGAAGCTTTTCAAATCCCTGTCATGAATGTTCAGAATTCGCACGCGCCAAGTAACGGCATAATTCAATACACTGATTTTAAACCACATTATCTCTGAAATGAGAGCTCGTTTCGAGACAAAGTTTATAGAAACAGATATAGTATTCATTGTAGAGTATTCTACTTAGTTTTAATGCGGTTTTACTCGAAATTTTTCTTGCCAAAAATGTATATACGCACATGACAAGTTGAACCCACTGTCTTCTGAAAGTACTTCAGCTAAAATAACAACTTGAGCAAGACGACCAACAGTAGGGTCACGAAAACAGTCGAAATCATGCCATAAAATGCACGAAAAGTTCTTCTACAAACTTAGTTTTAAACTAGATTGAACTTGCTTTAATGCTATATCGTATTTCATGAAAACATGCCAGGTATTTTCATTCAAAAACACGCTCAAAAAAATCGTAACTACTTACTTGGATTTAGTGTTCATGTTTCTTGCGATTTCCCACTTCACTTTTCCGTTAGATTGAAAGAAATTGCTGTTTTTCTGGCTGAAAATCGCACGACTTGATTTGGACAAGAACTTGACTTGAAACATATGCACACTCCCTTATGTTTTACAATATATTTTATATATAAAACACTTTAAAAACCTCTTCTTTTTCATCCTTAAAACTTGCTGCAAAGTCCTATCTTGTGACACTTTGCGGTTGTCACAGGTTTTTTAAAAAAATAGAGTTTTAAAATCGAAAATCTTCGCAAACTTTTGATCAATTTTCTCGCATGATGTATCGTTTGAAAGCCCGAATTTTGCACTTTATACTCGTGACCGTTGCTAGGCAACCCGATAAATACGCGCTAGACAATCGTGCCCGGAAGTTGACGTATCATCCAGGGCGCATGAGGGCGCAATGAGACTTACCCCGTTCCCAATTCCAGGGCGCATGGGGGCGCAATGAGACTTAATGAGTTAAAACGTAAACAAAAAGGGAAGTCGCACAACGAACTTCCGCACCCTGTTTTGAAAAAGGAACAAAGCTTATATTATACCTCGTTTTCTACGGTAGTGGTATCCATGGATCCATCACATAATACACTGTAAAATTTGGCTTTTGCTAAATCGGCATTCAGTTGGTGTTTAAGTTCTTGCCCCTGGATCTGTAAGGTATTTTGTACCGATTTCAACTCCATGTTTACGTTCCAGGTTCAGAATGTTTTTGCATGTACTGATGGGTAATTCTTCCTTGACCACGAAATATGTGGTCTCGAACTTAGTTTTAGTTTTTCTTAACATAGATGGATCCATTTTATTGTGATTTTGTAACCCGGACACTACATCAGTATTTCCTTTGTCGCAGGATTTTGCAATTTTGTTTGCGCGCTGTTCGATTTCTACTCCACTGGCCTTCAGAAAATTACCATGAGCCACGGTGTGAGGATGTTGTGGATCACCATTGATATTTGTTGCGTGATCTTTTACTGCTGAAACTCTGTAATTCGTTGAACCTTTGATATAAATGTCTGAGTAATTGGGCAAGCTCTTGATTTTGTCTTGAAACATGATACAAAATTTACATTTAAGATTCCTTGCCTTTCCTTCAGCATCAACATCATATGTTAACCATTCCGCTGCCGAATATTCTGATAAATCGGACTTCCACTTTTCTACGGTAGACGTTTTGACTGTTCTAACTTCTTTTGAACTTGAGGCACTAACATTGCCATGTTGTTTGGGGTTTCTTCTTGCTTTCGTAGTTTCGTACTGCTAACCAACCTGTCACGCTTAGCGGGCCATATATAACAATTCTGATAAACATTTACAGGGTACATTTACTTAAAATTTGGTCGGACATCAACTACACTTCGGTCGGACAAACAATAAACCTCACTGTTCATTCTGTCGGACAGAATTGTCCGGTGGTTTTCTCTTTACGTCGGACAATTTCACGAATGGGTCGGACAATGTCCGTGACCGACCGATATTTTAAGGCCTGATTTCTTGTGGTGTTCCTCAAGGTTCTGTTTTAGGACCTCTTCTTTTTTTATTATACATCAATGATATTCAAAATTCTACTAGAATTCTCGATTTTCACCTTTTTGCTGATGATTCAAATTTGTTTTATGCCAATAAGAGTTTATTAACACTAGAAACCATTGTCAACAAGGAAATTTCACATGTTTATCAGTGGTTATGTGTAAATAAATTATCTTTGAATGTTGAAAAGTCCAACTATATTATATTTCACCCTGCTCAAAAGAGAGTTAATTATCAAGTAAAAGTTTCTTTAAATGGTCAAATACTTCAACAAGAAATTTATACCACTTATTTAGGAGTTGTGATTGACTGTCATTTGAATTGGAAAGCACACATTTCAAAAGTCTCGGAAAAAAATAAAACGTAACATCGGGGCCATATCTAGAGTAAGGCATTTTGTTGACAGTAATATTCTTATAAACTTGTATTACTCGTTAGTATATCCTTATCTAATATATGGACTAGTAGCTTGGGGAAACACATATAGTTCTTCAATTAATCCTTTATATATTTTACAAAAAAAAGCAAAGCAGTTAGGTTAAGATGTGTGTATGTGTGTATATATATATGTATACTGATATGCATGTATTTTCAAAATTTTCCATATATGTGTGAATTTCTCTCAAATAGGGCTACTTGTATGAAAGAGGTTGATGATAAGTGGACAATTTCGCATATCTACATTATATAAAAGTATTCTCTAACCACTCGATTTAATAAATTACAAGCTAACTGTCTTGTCTAACTCTACAAGGTTATTACAGTTAGCTTGCACCTTTATATCATGTCATATATTAATAATGAAGAGAAGTTATATGTAAATTTCCAGGTGCTAAATAAAAATATTGATTGATTGATTGATTCCATTCCTGGCCACAAGTTTGCATTTTTCACAGCTGCCGCGCCATTATTATAACTAAGTTAACTATGCAGACATGTGAAAATGTTTTAAAACTTCATTTTCCTTTTTTAAGATATGTCGCATTAAATACAAAATTGCAGAGCAACTACTGGCAATATAATGTTGATGTCCCATCATACCTGCACGAAAGACCACACTCTATGATCAAGCATTATATCTTTAGAAGCTACCCCACCTGGCCACATCAATGTTATGGACAATGTTAATGGCATGTTTAAAGTCCGGAGTCAAGATGATTCAACCAAATTGTACACAGTGTTATTTGGAAGTGACTCTAGTGATCCTGCTATTCCTCCAAGCTGTGATTTCGTTTATTGGGCATGTTTAACTACCCACCTCATATATGGATTCCTCATTCCTTTAGGTTGATCGAGTAGATGTAAGACCTATACTTGAAACGTCATCATTTGACAAAGACAGTTATTTCAATCAGACACTCCTTTAGAACCCACTCAAGCTCCTGATAACAGCAATATTATACCCACTCTTGTAGACAAGCTTCAGTGAAAGCCTTCTTCACACAGAACAGAAGCAGCAAGATGCCAAGAAAGGTTGGGTCAAATAAAAAAATTGACAAATTGACATGTGTTGTGGAAGGCTGGAAAAATGCCAATGTACTAAAAGAAGTGAAGGTATAGTTGGATGAATGCAAAAATTGTGAATGATGCTTCTCTAAAGGAGAATGGTTTAGTTTTAGAAGTTCCAGGGAAAAAGGTTATAAATACATCACAGTCAAAATGAAGTCACCTACTCTGTTTAAACCTATTCCACAACCATTGAAGAAAAACCCTTATTCAGATTGAAGTGGTGAACGGACAGCCAATATTAAAACGAAGTTATGTTTAGAGGAAATTGAAGTAAATCAGCAGAGATTGTACGATCTGACACCAAGTCTTCATGCCACAACAACCAAAGTGTGGCAATTTTAAAATTAGTGATATTGACATAAATTTAATTATTAACAGAGAAGAGCTCACAGACCATATTATTGGAGCAATTACTCATACATACGGTTCTGCACAAACAATTCCTTGGCACAACATTTAATTTTTCTGTACATTGTGGTGCATTCTGTCAAGTTCTACACACAGGCGCTCATCACTGGGTTTTGGTATCAAATATTGCCTGTGAACATGCTTCCATTAATCTCTCATCAGTTTGTATAATGGAGGAGTCAGTTCACGAATAAAAAAGCAAATTTCCAGTCTACTTTTTGAAGAGTCGTTGTCCATTACAATCAACATTCCACATGTACACTATCAGCCAAATTATGTTGATTGTGGGGTGTGTGCCATTGCATTCCTTGTGTCATTACTCCTCAACCAAGATCCAGCAACTTTAACATACAATGAAAGTTCAATGAGATTACATTTGCTGAAGTGTTTAAAAGAAGGAAAAAGAAGGAAAAACATGCTGACCACCAAAGAAGAGTGAAATTGTCACTAATGTGCAACTGTCACATGCCATGGAATCAGAAGGATCTGGACAACCAAGACCTCTGGTGTGAAAAATGTTTGGAGTGGTTCCACAAGAAAAGGTTCCCCAATGATGCCAGACTCAGTTTTTTTGCAAGAGGAATGCCACCCGGAAATGTCAAAAATGCGCACAATAAGTCAGAACAAAATCTCTATATTTCATTACATGCCATAAATATTTTATTATGCACCCTCTAAGATAGGACCCTTTCCATACACACACTACACTGTTTAAGAGACGGAAATTTATTAACTAGCTTACAAACATCTCTTAACTTCCTCCCTACCATCCCCCCCCCCTTACAAACAAAAAACACAACATGTTCTGTATATGGATAAGATTATCATGGATGTTTGGCCTGGTCTTCCATGTAAGTCAACAACTGCAATAGGGAATATGTTGTTATAAGTGACCCTGTAAATTGTCATCCCCTAGCAAACAGCACAGTGACATTCTGAACTTTAGCCCAGGGTTAGGGTGCTACTGTAATTCTGCTCGGCTATTTACACCCAGGAAAAAAAAGTATCAGCAAAGTCTAAAGTGGGTGTCATGGGGTGGACCATCTCAGATCTCAACAATGTGGCTGTTTTGCCAGAGTGAGGATAAGCCAGACTTCAATTTTCAAAACATATATTTCGAAAATCTTTAATTTCTTATTTTGTTTCATCAGTAAATTTAAAACAGTTTACCGGCAAAAGCAGTTTAGTTGAATGAACATTTCAAAACATTTTAAATCAAAGCTCAGAAAATGCAAAATAACATAACTACAGTACATATTTCAGACATTCATTGTTGCATAGTTAAAAGTACTAATCTTTCAACTATTTTAATTTTATAATAGTTTTGTTTGTGGAAACACCACGTAAATTTATTATTTTTTTTTTTTATTAATTCATTATTTTTTATTATTATTTATATTATTATTTATTTACATGCTGTTTCCACAAACAAAACTGTTATGTATATGTATGTATAGGTTTTATCGCCATGCAAACATACAAAGAACTATTTTAATTTTGCCATTTTGTACAAATATAAAAATTTTTAAATTGTCATGGCAACACTAGTGTTGTCCAATCAAGGGAGCACGCCAGAAATATTTGCGTAAATTTATACTAACCTTTTAATTATGTAAATGTTTTCAATTTTCATCGGGCGCCATTTTGAATGTTGAAAGCGGTATATATTATTAGCTTATCGCAGGCGCAATAATTTATGTTCATCTTTGACATTAATTTATGTTACACAATGATACTCCGAAGGGCGACCGAGAAAGATCCGAAATTTAAAATAAGGCGGAGAAATAATAAAAAATAAAGAGGGGAGTGAAACGGCCGAACACGTAATGGGGTATTGGCCAATGAAAATGCGTATATCCAATTTCGCTATCTGGCCATGCTCGTTGACCAAGAACTGTCAAATCTATCAAAACTTGAATTGATGAGCCGCAAAAAAGCAAATGTCTTAAAATTGATTGACCTAAAGTATAGTGTATTTCTAACTGGAAGGGGCGGAAGTGGTAAATCGTTTTTGTTAAAAAAAATTGTAAATAAAGAATCTGATCGTGGTGGTTGTGTTGTCACTGGTTCTACCGGTATTGCAGCAGCCAATATTGAGGGAATAACACTTCATTCGTTTGCTGGAATTGGCACAGGGACAAAGTCAGCACACAAGCTACTGGGGATTGTCCTATCAAATGAACAAGCTGTCCAGCGTTGGAAGGAATGTAGACTTTTCATTGTAGACGAAATCTCCATGATAGGATCGGCCTTATTTGAGAAGTTAGACTTTGTCGCACAAGGGACAAGGCAGAGTTCACAGCCATTTGGTGGAATCCAATTGTTGTTGGCTGGGGATTTTTCCCAACTCCTGCCTGTAAGCAAAGAGAGTGGCGAAAAGCAGAAATATTGTTTTCATTCTCCTCTGTGGAAAAAATGTCTGGACTTTAGTGTGGAACTGACCAGTGTTTATAGACAGAATGAACATGCTCTCTTAAATCTTCTTGAAGACGTGAGAAATGGGCAGATTTCTATAACCTCGTGCAATCTATTAAACCAGTTAACCCGTGAGCTACCATGCCATCCTTTAGATGAAGTCAGATTATTCCCTCGCAAAGAAGATGCTGCAAAAGCAAATGATAAATGCTTCGATCTTCTACCCGGAGAGACATTCCACTTCCAATCTCAAGATGCAGGTGAGAAGTCAGAACTTGATAAAAGATGTTCAGCTTCTTCCTATTTATCTTTGAAAGTGAATGCAAGAGTAGTTTTGCTAAAAAATTTAGACAAAACACTAGTTAATGGTATGAGAGGAACAGTCATCAGGTTTAATGAAGGGTATCCTGTCATTCGTTTTGACAATAGTCGAGTGCATATTATACAACCAACCCAATTTATTGTTGAGAATGATAATAGGGTGTTAGGAACGCGCACCCAAGTGCCACTTGATTTATGTTATGGTATGACAATCCACAAAAGCCAAGCATCAAGTTACAGTTTTGTTGAAGTCGACTTAAACAAAGTTTTCGAAGAAGGGCAAGCATATGTTGCATTATCACGGTCTGAGACATTGTCTGGTTTACATGTATTAAATTTCAATGAGAAGATGATTAAACCTAATGAATGTGTTAAACAGTTTTATAAGACATTAAACTCTCAGGAGGAAATTGAGCAATGTTTTGAAGTGTTACCACCAAATGTCAGAGAGACTACTAATTTGGGCAAAGTAAATCTGGCTGGCACAATACCATTTAAGAGTCCAGCATGTGAACCTGATATTGCCATTCTTCAAGAAGTGAACACCCAACAGAAAATGAAATTCAACATGACAGATTTGCATGCAGCTTTGCAATGGCTGAAACAACATGTGGTAAGTGACAAATTAAAGGAATTTTTTAAAGTATTAAAACTTATACCCTGTGATAATGTGAAAGACCTTGATCCTCACCTTATTAACTTTATGATATGGTTAATTCAGTATTTTACTCAGCAAACTGCTTCTGCAGAGAAAACTAATGAAATTGGTATCACTATTTTGGAACAAAAACAATGGGGTAATATAACAGCTCAACTTCATTCCTTATTACGATCCAACCTACTATTAGATAGGTGGAAACAGTGTTTACAGTTTATTGGAATGTCAGACGTTGATGTTGATTTGTGTGGCTTACACAGAAAGGCTTGCATAGCATTTACTCGGGCAATGTATGAGACATATTTGAATATTCGTGCAAAAAAAGACAAAAGACACATTTGCAGGTGATCAGTCAAATTTCAATCAAGATCCTCTTAATTGCTCATCCCCAGAATCAATGGGCAAAATAAGGGACATTGCTGGGTGGATAATAGTGAAAGAAAGCAATGCCTGTTTAAATTACATCAAAAGTTGTAAAGGATCTAGATGTGATAAAGTGCAAGATAGAATAAAGACTGAAAGAGAAATCAAGTCTGTTTTGGATAGTCTGAAAGCAAGTAAAGAAATATTGATGGAAACCAGATATCCAGAATCACTGGAACATATAGAGACACATGACAGGGGTGGTAAAGCATTTGTATCTGATGAGTTCTATGAATACATGGTAGCAGTGGGTTCCCATGCGGTATTGTTATTATCAGACAAGACATTGACTAAATTCAAAGAAGATTCTATAAAACTTGCTTGGAAATCATTGCTTTCTAATGAGGATTTAAAAAGAAAATTTGAAAAAATGATTAACCATATTTCAAGCAAGACCTATGTGGAGGATGGCAACGACAACGTTCGTCAATCAGAAGAGTCCATATCACTTGATAGTGTTGAAGGTATTTTTTTGTGTATATTATATATACTAGTATAAGTCACTTAAATTAGTTAAATATATACAATACATTAGAAGTCAACACAAAACAATGGTGAAGGGTAGACTTTAATTTTTGGATTCCATCTTCATAACTGTAGGCTCTTTAAATGGAACTTCTCATTCCCTTGGATATGATGATAGCCCAGCTGTGCATGTTAGCAGTAAAGTCGATTCATCCATGAGCAATACAAGACCATATGATGATGAGTACTGGATGACAAATGTTGGTCAACATGAAATGACAAAGGATACTCATAAAGGTGATAGTGCTATAATGTCAATGTATGATAAATTTCCTACTATGACTAACATTGTGTTTATTATGATTCTATCAATAGAATTCGATTCTATCAGTGGAACCTTACACACACCTGGTGACAGACCAGTTATTGAATTGGTCAAGAATGAAGATGAATATAATCTACTGAATGGTGACAGTCTGAATGATGATGAAATAATGGGAGAATTTAATGAAAATGAAAGTGTTAGTGGTAAGTCATGTTAATACTAATTAATTTACCAAAATATCCCCTGGACAATTACTGTACAGATATATCCCAATGTAAAAAAATAAAAATACCTTGTATTATTGGCAGGGGCGAAACTAGCCCCTTTTAATTAGGGGGTGTCTGCTAGAATTGTCCTGCGAAAGCCGATGATGCCCTGCAGCAAAATTTTTTTTGGAGGCACTATGCCCATTGCCCTGCCAATCCAGATGATTTGCCCTGCCAATCCAGATGATTTGCCCTGCCAATCCAGCTTTGGGGGGTATCACTCCCCCCCCCCCACACACACCCACACCCCCCTCAAGTTTTGTCCCTGATTATTGTTCATGCATATTAACCATTATGGTACAATGCTTAATTCTGTGGCAACCCCCTGGGGAATAGATTTTCTGTTCTTCAATTCATAGTACCATAGATGCTTAATTACCACAAAAAGTTCCCAAGCAAAAAACTTACCACCAAACACCGAGAAAATGGGTGATCAGTGATTATCCTCTATTAAATTGTATTACAGCAAGAAAATGTGAAATTTTGTATTCAATTACAACAAAAATGACTTGCATCATCAGAAATGTTACAAAAATCTACATATAAGACATTTAAACAGTGTTTTTATATCTCAAATTGTTTTCGAGTTATATGCTGTCAGAAACGCGTTTTTGACCTAGTATCCAGTACTTATTGCGACATTTTAGTTCAATTTCACATTTGAAACAGCAATAACTCAAAGACAAACTGTTTAAAAGTCCTATATGCGGTTTTTTGTAAGCTTTCTCGTGATACAAGTCATTTTTGTTGTAATTGACCACAAAATTTCACATTTGCTTGCTGTAATACAATTTAATAGAGGATAATCACTGATCACCCATTTTCTCGGTGTTTGGCAAGTTTTTTGCTTGGGAACTTTTTGTGGTAATTGAGCATGTGGTAATCTATGGTACTATGCATTGAACCACAGAAAATCTATTCCCCATGGGGGTTGCCACGAACCGAAATAATTTTGGCCCACGGCCTAGTACGCTTGTAATTCACTTAATGCTGAACAAATAATTTTACTTTATCAAGAGGAAACAGTTGCATGGTTGTGCCTAAATGATTAAGTGATTTGTACATTACAGGCGCGGATCCAGCCTAAACCCTGACCGTGGCGCACTCCAAAACCGTAAATAATTAGGGGGGTCCGGGGGCATTCCCTCCCGGAAAATTATTGAAATTTGGACCCTGGAAATGCCATTTCCTGAGTTCTGAGCATCGAATTCTATCATATAATTCGTCATTAATTACGCCATATTTTAGACAGCAAATAACGAAACGCACTAAATAAGTCAAATATTTAAACAACATACCATGTTCTTCAGCGAACGTTACAACATTAGAATGTTACAAAATCACTGTACTTACATAAAACCACAACTCTGTACCGCACGTACTGTTCCTGTGTATTTCAGGTTCTTCGTAGCAAAAATATCCAATTAGGGCTGTACATCGAACCCAATCATCTTGGCGTTTCTGTTGCAACGCAGATCTTTTACGGTGTGGGTTTTTTTGCAGCTGCACATCGATACCAAGTGTCTTATTCTCGATCATTCGCTTAAAGTGTGTAGCACGGAGAGTTGCTGTTGCGTGAACATTGGATTTTTCACCATGCTGACATAGTTTCTGGACAGCAGAAGCACTTGGAGGAAGAGCACTGGTCATCAATCGTTGGAGCTCGCTTGCATTATGCGTGCTTTCACTGCCAAAAACACAAGTGACGCAAAGACCACCCGTTTGCCACAGCAGAGTAAGCCAACCATGGAAATCGTGATAACCATGCCAACCGGAAACGTCAACCAATATTTTCGTGTGGAGGAAAAGAAAAATCAGAACCAGGTTTCCAATGGCAATGATTGCACAGAATTTCGCACTTTTTCGAATCAGGAAGACTGGACACCAGATTTACGTAGTTGTAGATATCATCTGGCCACGAATTGGTGGAAGTTCGTTGTGTTTTGGTGTTTGATTTTTCTGAAGTAGGACCAGTGTTGGGACTTACAGATGAAATTCCTTTACTAGTGCTGGGAAATTTGATTTCACTGTCTACAGTTTCTTGTGTGTTGCACGCTCGTTTCACAAGAAGCGCATCGATCTAAGCTAAATTGTTTTCTTTTTGGACCAGTCGTCCGCTTTTTAGTAAATGTAGTCACTTGTGTAGAGGAAGGAGCAGAAAAAACTTTAGTAGAAACTTTAGGAGAAACTGTAGGAGGAACTTTAGGATGAACTGGCATCGCAGACTTCAATAAGGTTGGAAGGTGTGCTTTAAAATAATGGTCTCGTGGCTGAAGTGCTTTAACTGGTTTGCACAAGGTAACAAAATATTTTTGGTAGATAGAATTCTTCGATCAACCAAATAAGACGGTGGCATCGCAGCACAATGAAAGATATGGACATATTCAATTGCACTGCCATCAAGATAATCCCGTGGATATACTGTATTGTAGAATTGAATCCAAGTAATCCCAATTTCTTTCGCTACAGTATCATTGGTGAGTGGGTAGAATGACTGAATGGCACACTGAATTACTGTGGACAAGACAAACATGCACACCATGGATGAGAATGTGTAATTTTTTGCAGTTTCCTTTGCTTCTTCTAAAACTGCTGCATTTCATTACAAATGTCGAAAAAAGTAAGAGCTGCATCAGATACACACATGGCAGAGGCATTTTTAAGTGTAGTGAACGCTATTACGTTTTTATGCTGGGACTCAATGAAGGAGTGGTTAGCATAGTATTTGGCATTCTCAAACAGTTCAATACTGGTGAGGCATCTCAAGTGAGCAGACAAACTCTCATTCCCGATTAACGCAATAGAACATGCATTAAAAAGACAATGAAGTACTGAAAGAATTTAAGCATTTAAGTATCAATGGTTATTTTATATTATTTTGTAAATATTCTATTGAAACTTTTAACCAGAATGTCAACTTCTTTGCACCACACAGTAATTATGTGATTATACTTTGCAAACTTCGCTCAAATTATCTGGAGAACAAATGTAATGTTATACCTTGCCATTTGAGAAATAGCAAGGAACCATTTGTTTTCCCAAATGTTTTCCCTCCTTTTGCTTGTATAATCATGGGTCTCGTTCCATATAACTTTGTGCCAAAAGGATAATTACTAGAATTAGTCAGGGTAACCAATAGAACTAGAGTTGGTTTTAAGGTAAGGACTGAAGATTAAATTTTGGAATCATTAATATGGAAATTGAGCCATACTACAATGTCTTTGTGTAATTTGAGTAACATCATGATGACATCAAATTCACAGCTGGCCTTGACTAACTCATGGGATTTTGTTGCAGTTTTAGATTCGGGATTAGGTTTTAATGTCAGGATTAGGATCAGGATGACATCATCCACAACAACATCAATATTCATCCACAACAAACACCTGTGAGGTAGTCACCCTCCAGGGGCCAGTTGTTAAAAATATTTGCTGTGTTGGTGTAATGTACTCTGGTGAATAAGATGCTTGTGTGATGTTATTAGAATGTTAGGGTTAGTAATCCAAGTGAGAATATATACATTTTAAGACCTAACCAGGAACAACTGCAAAAAAATGCAGCACAAGGTCCTCTGGTAGGAAATGAACCTACGGCCCTGCGATTCCTATCAGAGGACCTTGTGCTGCATTTTCCGCAGTCGTTCCTGGTTAGGTCTTAAAATGTATATATTCTCACTTGGATTACTAACCCTAACATTCTAATATTAATTCCACCAAGTGAAGTGCATGAATCCAAATTGTGTCATGTTACTCTGAGTGTATATCCACACCGGGCAGGCTTGAAAAATATGCCTGGCCACGGTGGGATTCGAACCTATGACCTTTGGCAAAGGCATTGGGAGAGCATTGGGCTAGTATTCCTTGGCAGACCTTTGGCAAAGGCATTGGGAGGGCATTGGGCTAGTATTCCTTGGCAGATCATTGGGCTAGTATTCCAAAGGTTGTAGGTTCGAATCCCACTGTGGCCAGGCATACTTTTCAAGCCTGCCCGGTGTGGATATACACTCAGAGTAACATCACACAAGCATCTTATTCACCTGAGTACATTACACCAACAGTCCAACACAGCAAATATCATGATTATTAGATTACACTGATATCGAAGGAACTACAGTAGACTCAGTTCCAAAGTATTGCATACTCAAACCGACCTGACTGCATAGCTCAGTTGGCAAAGCATTGGGCTAGTATTCCAAAGGTCGTAGGTTCCAATCCCACCATGGCCAGGCATATTTTTCAACCCTGCCCGGTGTGGATATATACACTCAGAGTAACATCACACAAGCAATTTAGAAATATTTCTTCAGAAATCTTGTCTGGATGAATGAAAGTTTTCTTCAAAGCTTCGAAGTAAACAGGCATGCAGAAACACACAAACAAAAACACTAGGTTAAATTTTAACCAAGGATTAGCCTTAGCTTAGAACAACCGACCCCTGGTCAACCTACAAATATTAAGGCGCTATATTTAAAGCTTGGTGAAACCAAATAGACGACTATATAGACCCAATACAGAAGTAAACATTTCATTTTACAGTCGACAATCAAATGTTGTAGCCGTAAACTGTAGCAAAATACTGATAACAGTTTTAAACAGAGTTTTTACTAATATTTCACGACTACATAGCGGATAAATGCAATTTATATTTTATTAACCGCCATGTGTTCGAGATCATATTACTATTTCACTAACAAAAATTTACATACATACAAATTTGCATGCACAAATTTATATTCCCTGACCCCAGCGTATAAAATGCAAATTTAATATAAGTCGATTAAAAATTCTTACCTAACAGGAACATTAGGCCCAGATCTTTCAGTTTGGCTCTTGGAGAACTGCAGTTTTGAAAATTCACACGTTGGCAGCACGATGTCGCCAGTAGATTTTATACGGCGCAACCTTTCTTCAGTGATAAATTCATCATATTGTTGCCTCAAGAGCGATAATTCCCCTGAAATATGTTCGCTTAGGTTTGCTTGTTGAAAGATTTCGACGAGCTTGCTAAGAACATCGACTTTTTTTTAAAGCTTCCATCCTGATAGCATCCATGTAGCTTGTGATGTATTATTCTTTATCCCGTCAAGTCGACAAGTATCGAACTTTATTGTTGATCATTTGTATTGCGCAATCAAAACAGAGCCACCGTGGCAGACCGTGGCGCACATGACCACAACTTGCCCTGTGATTGGTTTGCAACGCTGCACCGTGGCAGAAAGTTACTATATTTAGTAACAATTGCGCAATTTTTTGCACGCTGACCGTGGCATTTTGTGGCTGTGATCGCAGCTTCGAATTTACGACTGTTTTCCGAACATATTCGGCAGAATTCGGCACGCTTTCGGCGGTTTTTATAGTTCAGTGTTTAACTGGATAATTATACTATTGAACAAGGAATATATTTCGGAAGTTTTTCCTGCTTTTAGCACATATATATTACTGTAATATGAGAACAATTACGAAAGATATTATTCAAATTGTTTGCTATAGACCTATATTTGCTCAATTTTGCTGTATTTCAAATAACTAATATATACTTCTTAAAAATGCGTAAGGAGTCTAATGTAGTATCCAACAAAGGTGAACCCCGGAAAATCTTAGGTGGGAAAAATCTGACCGTGGCTCGAGCCACTTTTGCCACGGTCTGGATCCGCGCCTGATAAACGTCTGGCTGTATAATGAACTCAAATGAAGAAGCATAAAAATTTGAAGGAAAATTTATATAAAGCCTACTACCTTTGGGACTCTGGGACTGCACACAGACTAGATCGTGATTATTTCGGGTACACTGAATAATTAAGCTTCAATTAAGGACTTGGGCAAAATGAGGAGAGTGTGTTAAAAAATGTTTGTATTATACGCCTGCATATCACTATATGTCAGTTTGTTTCATGCATGGGCTCAAATTAAACGATGCGAACATTTCATGCCAAAACTTATATGCCTATTTATTTTCCCCGTGTTTTAGGCCTATTAACCGCATTTTGCACATTAAATTCATTGTGCGATAGTAACGAATCGAACGCACATCCAGTGTCACACAGTACACATTGAATTGTGTTGAAGACGCAGTTATAATACGTATCAAGTTCAATTTTTTAAACTTCAATAGTTAAGAATTTATTATTAAAAGGATCGCACCATTGCCAAATCAGTCAGTAAGGTCGTAGCCGAAAGTTGGGTACGTGCCTCGATTTTTGGTCACACGGATTTTTTGGTCATTTCGAAGGTCATGAAAAACAGTGATATTGTGGCGAACGCACAATGTCTTAGCCGTATATAAATCTGTGCGTACATATAACAAGATGTGGTCAGATATATAACAAGAAATGTGGATTTTAATGAAAAATTGCATTGTTTTTATTGCGCATTTGTATTAAAAAGAGATACACTGTAACACTGATACAGTACTTTCATATAGAAAAAGGTTAAACATCACGAGGAATTTTTTAATTTTACATTTAGGATTTTAGTCGAGATATATATCACGAATTAGATATTTTGCACACGTTTTTAAATATATATTAAACTTTTACTGTCGGCGGCCAGATTAATTAATTAATTACGTTTGTCTCAGATTCTATTGCAAAATAGAGCCTGCTGGCTGCTACTCACTCAGGCTAGTTATAAGTCTTCTATCTGGCGTTTCATATTGATATAACATTTAAAACCTGTCTTCAACTTAACTTAAAACTAAGATCCGCATCCTTATTTTTTTTTAGGAATATCCGAACGAGAAACATTCCTTCATTTTTATACCCGGACCGGCCTAAAATGCTAAATTTAAATCTCTAATCAAAATCGTTACAAAACGTACAGCTAGTTATATATTCAAGAGTTTGACACAACAGACCCTTGCAGTCTATTTATCTAGACTCAGTCACACGATAGATAGGAAGTATTAGGAACAAACCTTTGCGATGTACTCCTGCCACGCAGTAAATAGCAATACAAGAATAAAATGACCAGCATCTTTCGAACTTGAACTTGAAGTCAATGAAGAAAGTGATTCTTGCAACGATTTTAACAAATCTTTTAACGCTTCACCAGGATCTAATGAACGTAGAGGATCGAATGGGTTTTGAGGTCGCAGCAGCCCGTGCCCTGCATATAATGAACTGACGTCTGAAGCACCAGCTACGGCTGAACGTGAAGCTTCAGGCTGGAAAATTTCGACTGCTTCGGCAAGTGGCAGCCCTGTTAGGAGTCCAATTCCTTTAACAATTTCGTTACCCATACCTTATAATACTGATAAATCTTATGACGTATATACCTATTGTATATAGTATAATAATATTTATAATTGTGAATTCGAACGCAGCATATAAGACTAAAAGACGAAGCAGCGGTATATATTACATATATACGCAACAGGAAGTGCTTCTTAGAAACGCATTTCGCAATAGTAGCCACACATGCAGTGCATGTTGGTATCTAGCTACTTCCGGGTTACTTAGAAGTGCAGTGCAATGCCAATGTCATTCAATTCCTGCACTTTTCCTATTACTTAGCCTATTCTCGGAAATACTGCTGCATATATAGCCTATAAGGCAGTAGGTCTGCTGTCGGCATATTAATACTTGCCGATGTGCATGTATATACTCTCTTTGCTCGTCTCTCATATCAACAAACCAACTAAACAAGAAGCAAGGTCAAATTTAAGTCGAAAAAAACGAAGTACAATATGTTATGTTTAATAATGATGTCGCTCAGGCGGTCAGGCCCTATGAAAATGAGGTATATATTTTAATATGCATGCCTGCCAAAATTCCACGATTGATCTCGGCGGCTCAAGAAAATTTTATGTAATTCTGACGTTTATCCGAAATTATTAAAGTTGCCTGCGGAGGAGACTATTACGAGGATGTTGATGGGTATATCGTGACTCGTGAAACACTAAAAATTAACCGTGAAGCGTGAGGGGGGGAAATGCTGTTTATAGTTTCAGAACACTTTTCAAAGATTTACCGTTAAAATACCAATATTTTACCGTTGAAATCAACCTTTTACAGTTTACTAATCTTCAGACACCCCCTCCCCCCATCTAGACCCTCCATTACAGTAAAACCCGAGGTTTTAAAACCAGCGAACACATACAGTAGCCGATTGTAGTTAATAAATACGCAATTTTTAGTACTAGTTATAGGGCCACATAAAATAAATCCCTTGATTCTCATCACCGCCCGACTGTATATCTAAGAGCCTCGTGAAAAATGTTTATATATATTTCATTATACAATATATATAAATGTACCGCCCGACAAAATATTTCAAGACAGTGAAGTTTTTTTATATCTTATATTGCATGGTTTTACTGCCATTTTAAAGGAAGTTCGAATCCATTTCAAGGGTTAATTCATGAGTCATTGTCCGTGGAGCCCCGTGGTGGAGCCAGTACGTTGGAGATGACCGAAATGTGTAATGTAATATGTTTATTTCGGTTTGTGACAGTTCACTTCGGAAATCACAGAAATATTAAATGTTAGAGTTGGTATTTGGAATAGGGTTAGTGTTAGTAAAACGTTGTTACATTTTGTCACTACGAGACTGAGGCCAGCGAAATAAGCACTTCCTCTGATTGTGGGTAATTCCAAGAATTACATGTGATTCAGGCGTTTAGCTTTCCCCTAACTATTATTATATAATCAGTATCATGCGTTTAAACCTTTGTCTACCACGAACACAGTTTATTATGAATCGAATCTTCCGCGAATTCCGGGTATATTTAATATCCGGTTGTTACATGACAGCAATTATCATGACCACGCTCGTATAAACACCGGAAAGAATTCTCAGGTCAGGGTCATCAAACGTCGAACTTTTCATGCGCCGAACCTAATGTTAATGCGTTAAGTTCTTAATTTGTTTCACTTCATTTGCATTAGGTGTTCATTATAGTGAGATTTGCAAATCAGAATTAAGAAGGTCTGACGCAGGGCTGCAATGTGTATAGAAAATATTGTTTTAAAACTAACTGTGCTGTCTGTGCATGTTGGTATCTAGCTACTTCCTGGGTACTTATGGGCGGACCATTAGAAATCCCGGGATGGGGGGGGGGGGTATAACATTTTTGCGGCACGGATTTTTTTTTCAGTCTCATGTCTCTGCAGAAATTTTTTTTAATGCATTTAACCTCTGCACGAATTTTTTTTTAGGACTATTTGTACTTTGCTGTTTGCTTGCACGAATTTTTTTTCTCTGACGTAATGGCTGCACGAATTTTTTTCCAGGCATTTTTCTTTGCACGAATTTTTTTGGGGGAATTTTCACACACACACACACCCCTCCCGGGATTTCTAATGGTCCGCCCCTTAGAAGTGCAGCACAATATTCAATTCCTGCACTTTTCCTATTACTTGGCCTATTCTCGGAAGTACTGCTTCATATAGAAATAATAGCATATATATAGGGCATGCAGTAGGTCTGCCGTCGGCATATTTATTTAATATACTTGCCGATGTGCATGCAGAGATATACTATTGTTCGAGTCAGAATTCGAGCCAGGACTCGCGGAGTCAGGACTCCCATACTTTCCTGCAACTTATCCAATATATTGATACGCCTTCGCCCATTTAGTACTACTAAATTGTAAACAAATTGTAAATTTCGACATACTGAAACGCTGTTTTCTGACCATCAGAATTCTGTCAAATCTTCCCCCGGTCAAAGTGCAGGAAATGCCATTTCAGAGACTCTAAATTTAATAATTTTCTCGGGCCTTCGGTTTTCCTCGGGCCTTCGGCTTCCTATGTTTATATTTCATTATACAATATATATAAATGTACTGCCCGACAAAATATTTCAAGACAGTTAAGTTTTTTATATTTTATATTGGGTTTTTAGTGCCATTTTAAAGGAACTTCGAATTCAGTTCAAGGGTTAATTCATGAGTGAGTCATTGTTCGTGGAGCCAGTACGTTGGAGATGACCGAAATGTGTAACGTAATATGTTTATTTGATTTCGGTTTGTGACACTTCGATTCACTTCGGAAATCACAGAAATATTAAATGTTAGAGTTGGTGTTTGGAATAGAGTTAGTGTTAGTAAAACGTTGTTACATTTTCACACTTTGAGACTGAGGCCAGCGAAATAACAACTTCCTCTGATTGTGGGTAATTCCAAGAATACATGTGATTTAGGCGTTTAGCTTTCCCCAATTATTATATAATCAGTATAGACAGTATAATGCATGCGTTCAATATACCTTTGTCCAACCTCGTTCCCAGGCTCTTTCCTCTTGTGGAGCAAAGACCCTGGTCGGGGCTGGTCACGTGACCCACAGAAAATTGATAGCCGAAGAGGCAATCTCGTTCCCCGAGCCTGCGATCCTCGGGAAGGAACGCGAGGCTCTGGGATAATCCGTTTCAGGGAGGAATCTGATTGGCCGTTGAAATGGAATGCGTAGTTCAATCTTAGCCACAATTCCTGGCTTCCGGCAACGGATTATCCCAGAGCCTCACGTTCCTTCCCGAGGATCGCAGGCTCGGGGAACGAGATTGACGAAGAGGGGGATGGAAAAGTCTCATATTACATGTTTCCACTTCCGCACTTCACACTTCGATTGCAAGGAGTGGCCGTTCTGTACAATCGTCTTTGAGAATCATATATACTTCAAAATACTTGCTAAATTGGTTTCTGTTTGCTTTTAAATTATACAAACATGCTAAACTGTTGATTCTTATAGCAACAGACAAGTAAGAAAATCAAGCAACGAAAACGTATGATCGTATATGCTTGGAAATATTTGCCCTTTTATTAGTCTCGGGGTTCGGGCGCAGTTTCATTTCACGCGTACGTTTCTGTATCTGGTTAGATATTTATAATATTCTTACAATATACCATTGAATTGTTGTCATATGGAACGGTATAAATTTTGTTAAATAGAGATCTCAAAAGCGACTGTGTAGGTCGTAGACGTAGCGCCTTGCTGGTCTTACAGCAAACGTTACACATTTGGACACCAGCTAAATAGACATTGAATGTCCATTCTATTGATTTTAAAACGGTTTATAGACATAGTGCTCCAGTTTGTTTTTTTAAAAGGTTATCATCGTTTATATTAAACACCAGGTAGGAAGGATTGTTAACGTACAAAATTGTTTGGGATTGACAGTAAAGAATTATACGACAAATCACAACTGTATGCATTTCCTTTTCTGCACGATTGTTCAAGCCTAAAATCAAACTATTGCACAGAATCTCCGATATGAATTCTATCGCCATTCACCCTCGCCCCTGGAATGCAAAGGAATGATAAGTAGCCGAAAAGGTTTAGCAGAGTATTTTTTATTATATCTGGTATAAAGTGTCCCTACGTTTTATCAGGGATATATATACATAATTCATAAACTGTATATGCGCACGGACTTAGTCTAGCTCATAGAATTACTTAATTATAATATAAAGTTTTAATAAGCCTTTTAAAGTTTCCATTGATAGATAGGTTGTTTGTCTCTCTGCTAAAATGTTATTCCAATATACGATAAAGATTAAAGTTGGTTTAAATATTGATGACACAGCGGCATTATACAAGTCGAAAGAAGCTGTATTTTAAATTAAGCCGGGTTATTCTTCAAATATAAAGCCCTGAATGGATAATGGTAATGACAATAAAGGTAATTAAGGTTTATAATGCACCTGCTGTAAATAACTGTAATATACGAAATATAAAATAATTTACTATAAAGTACAATACCAGTGTCTGGTGCAATCTGGTGCATATATCGTCCTATATTCAAGTTATATGTACCGCACGCACGGAAACGCACAGTGGAGTCTTGGCGTTCGTCTGATGACACTAGATACCTTTACTTCGAGTCTTCGACATAATCATTCTTGATCGTTGAGTTTCAGCAATGTAAATGAAAGGAATTTTACAGTCCATAACGGGTTTTAATCCTGTGCTTTCACAGTCAAGATAGCAACTATTGTTTACACAAAGTTGGCGATGTTTGGGAAATCAAAGCATCCCGTTATACAATAAATCCTTTGTTGAATATCGGACAGAATACACTTCAACCATAAACAACCATATCGTTCATTTGGTATCGTTTGATCGATCAGTCAGTGTAGAATTGGGAAGACATATATGTTTCTACGGCGATGCATGCTCAACTTCGCAAGCCAGCGCGTGTGGAGTCCTTCCCTTGGAAGTGAAATATGATCCAGCTTGTCGCTTGAAATGTACCGCAACACTTATTATTGATGACATTCAGTATAACAGGAAGTCGTGTCATGATGAATACGAATTTAAAGCAGTTTCTTTCACGATTTCCTTCACACATAAAATTGCAATTTTCCAAACGCAACAAACAGACTCCTCTACTACCCCTCCCTGAGAGCAATTCAATTTACCACGCAGAATCTGCGGGGTCACGTGACCAGCCCCGACCAGGGTCTTTGCTCCACAAGAGGAAAGAGCCTGGGAACGAGGTTGAATTCTTTC